CTCTCTGATAATTTCCTCAGGGTTCATTGATTATTGCCTTTTCCCTTACTGGCGGTGTCCTCTTCATTTTATTGCCAAATAGGAATTACTAAGATATCTGGGAAAGGAGCAATATACAACGGGTAGGGGACTTGCCTTGTACACAACCAACCTGGGTTTGATCCCCAGCATCCCTTATAGTCTTCCAAGCAAGTCCAGTAGTAATTCCTGAATGTATATCAAGGAGTAACCCCTGAGCATTGCTGGGTGTGGTCCCAAACCCAAATAAATAAATTCTTAAGGTATGCGATGTGACTGCTTGATTGTGACTTTGTGACCCTTGGAGATCTCAGCAAACATAACATGCTGAAAACTCACATTATGAGACCAAAACAATTACTATTTTTCTATTTAGTTGCTATACAAATGGAATTTTAAAAGGTAACCTATCACTTTATATGTTGGATTTCAGATTTTTGCTAAAACAAATATGTTATGATTTTTGGGGGGTGAAGTTTTGGGTGAAATCTGAGAGTTTGGGGACTACACTTCTCTCAACTCTGTGCCTGGGGGCCTATGTCCTGCTAGGACTGAACCCTGAGTTCTTTCATGCAAAGCCTCCACTCGGTTCAATGAGTTATCCAGCCCTACAGCCCTTAGAAGTGGAAGTGTTTTTGTCCCTTAGAAGTGGAAGTCTGGACAAACCACTTTTGGCACCATGTGAGTTCTCCCACCAGCCATGATCCTGAGACTCATAAATAAATCTTGAAAGAGATCAACAAGTTGCAGAGATTTTTTTCAGACCCCTTGCCAGGCTGAGTCATTTGGGCTACCCCAGGCGGTTGGGTGAGCCCAGTACTGCCCAAACAGAGCCCCGGCAGCCAAAAATCTCCACACTCCACAATTGCTGCCATGCTCTCAGGTGGATTCCTCTGCTCCAGATGAGCTTCATCCAAAAGTTAATCTGTTGAAAAACTCGGGTATGCAGGTTTTGTGATTGAAATCTCCATGCTTTCATGGAAGTAGAGATGGGCTAACCCCACCCAATCTCGTGCATTTCTGGGGAAGTCATATACACACCCCAAAGCCACCACCACCCAGTAAAAAATTTAACGCCAGCAGTCTCATCCGTTAAAAATTTTGGACACCCTGGAGTGTACAGTCCCATAACACCTCAAACTCAACAACACTGATAAGCAAGGAGAAGCACATAAAATTAGATAGGATGTAATATAGAAGGCATTCAATCTCAATTAACAAATTATCAACACAGAAGGCTTAACCTGCAACAATGTTTTAGTAATCTCTTACATGAGGGCTTACTAGTTCCATGGTGAGATGCACAGTCTTCACTAAGGCCATTTAAAAAGTTTGAATTTCGGGGCTGGAGCAACAGCATAGCAGGTAAGGCATTTGCCTTGCATGCGGCCAACCCAGGTTTGATTCCCAGCATCCCATATGGTCCCCCTGAGCACTGCCAGGAGTAACTCCTGTGCAACGCCAGGTGTGACCCAAAAAAAAGCAAAAAAAAAAAGTTTGAATCTCCTATATGCTCTCCTTGCTTTCAGGAAATGTGTTTGGGACTCTGTGAGGGAAAATTAAGGTGTTAGCCACAGTCCAAGTTATAGATGGAGCCGTGGAATCAAATTCTTGGTGAAGTGGGACCACGGGTGAAAATATGTATGAGGATTCAATTAGCTTAATCAATGGCTGAACAAATAGCAGTACTCCTACATTAAAAAAACAAAAAAGAAAAGAAAATAGGTATGAGGCAGGTTGAGGAGGCAAAAAGTGACTGCTGAGACTTGTGAGTGCTGCCCTTAGCCAAATAATAACAATTTTCTAAGGTAAGAGTCCCTAAATCTTCCTAATTATGTTTCTTTACTAAAAAAATTGGAAATTACTGATGCAAGTTTATGAAGTTAGGGGTGTTATTGCTTCCAACAGTATTGAGATGTTTTCTCATGTTCATAAGGTTATAGGACAGTAAGTATTGATACCCTGCAGAACTTTCCCTTCTCAACACTCTCCAGGACAGACCTTTGTCTCCTCCTTCAGGAAGGCTTCCAGGACATCTACCCAACAGCACTGAGTCCCTTTCCCCATATCGTGTGGTCCTATCAGAGAGCTTGTGGAGGGTGTGTCTGGCAGGCAAAGATTTTCTGATGAAAACATATCTTAAAAAATGCTACCAGAATCTGTGGATCTCTTTTCTTCATGGCTCTTTATGAGTCTTCAAAGGCCGTGTATATTTTACTATCATCATCACACTCATTATTTGGGTTTTAGAGCCACACCTGACAGTGCTCAAGGCTGACTCCTGCCTCTGTGCACAAGGATCACTCCTGGTGGTGCTGGGGATTAAACTAAAGTCAGCTGCATGTACTATCTATCTGGCCCAAATTCTGACGTTAAGTTCATATTTTTCTGGTTTATTCAGTGAGGTGACATTGTCTGGCTTTGCAGGGTTAGCTGTGATTTAAAAATTTGTGTGGCTATGCTAAGCGAAATGAGTCAGAAAGAGAGGGATAGACATAGAAAGATTGCATTCATCTGGGGGATATAAAATAACAAAATATGAGATTAATACCCAAGAATAGCTGAGATCAACACTAGGAGGATTACTCCATAGCTTAGAGGCTAGCCAGGTATTCTAGGGGAAAGGGCAATTCAGATAGAAAAGGGAACACTAAATAAAGGGTGTCTGGAGGATCCTCCCAGGAGAGGAGATGCATGTTGAAAGTAGACTATGGACTGAACATGTTTGCCACTCAATGCCTCTTTTGCAGACCACAACACCCAATAGGAGAGAGAGAATGAAAGGGAATGCCCTGCCACAGAGGCAGGGTGGGATGGGGTGGATGGGGGGAGGGATGTTATCCATGGGGGTGGAAAATGGGCACTGGTGGAGGCATGGGTATTTGATCATTGTATAACCAAAACCCAAGCACAAAAATTTGTAAATCTACAACTGTACCTCATGGTGTTTCACTAATAAAAAAAAAAGAAAATTTGTGTGGCATGGGCCTTCAATCAGAATGCAGAGAACCAAGAACAGTCATCTGAAGAGCCTACAGTTGACTATGCTTGGATTCTTCCACACTCTACCTCCAAGACAAAAACACCACATATATTCCCATATTCATATTCCCCCCATCACCTGAGCTGACGCAAGTACAAATGATAAGTAAACTTTGGACAAGTCACCTATATAGTCTGTCTTTTAAATGGGGACCATGCCGCTAGTCCTGCCTATCTCATATACTTGTTACTATGTTTTCATGAGATACTGCCCAACCTTTCCCATGTGATGGGAGAGGACAGTTCTTGTTAAGCGCCTCGGGTAAATGCAAAGGTTGCCAAGACCGGAAGTACCTGCTCCTGTATTCTGATTGTCCTGCCTGGCTAACCCAGGGTCCAAGGAACATGACATCTTCATTCATTTGTACACTAGTTAGAACACTCTGTTATATAAAAGAATTGAAAACAAAACTTAGCTGCATAGCTATACCAGCTCAACAAGGTCACATTATATATAATTTCCTGTCACCTTTCAGGGGGTGGGTGTGAGGCATCAGGCTCAGATGTGTGAAGTGCTGGCATGGAGGCCCATAGCCATGAGGCAGCAAAACATCAACGAGTTCCCACACTTTCTTATTGTTTTCTTTTTTGGCCACTCCCAACGACACTCAGGGGTTACTCCTGGGTCTGCACTCAGGAACCATTGGTGGTGCTCGGATGACCATATGGGATGTTGGGGATTGAATCTGGATTGGCCATATGCAAAGCAAATGCCCCACATGTTGTACTATTGCTCTGGTCCCCAGATCCCACACTTGCACCTCACATGTAGCCTGTCTCAAGCCTGTATGATGCTTTCAATTATACCTCGTTTTCAACAATAATCATTTTTTGGAAAAAAAATTACTTGTCTGATCATCAGGGTAGCTAGGGAAGTGGAGCACTACTATTGCCTTCAATTCACAGCCAGCTCGCTGGAAAGGGTTGAAAGGTCAGCAAAATTTGGATTAATGTGCCACCATTCCACCTTTCTATGTCTATATCCCCATCTATTTCTATTTCTACGTCCAAATCTATGTCTATCTTCTCTTCTGGCAGTAGAAACCATTAGCTTTTGCATCTGTGTATGAGAGTGACAGCAGAACCCAGGTGATAAGACCTAAGGGACGCATAATCAGTTATGCACGTGGTGCCTAAAATACTCCTGGGAAGAACACTTTAAATATTCATTGAAAGAGATATCACTGGACCTGGATTTAAACTACAGCAGCAGCAGCAGCAGCAGCAGCAGCAGCAGCAGTAGCGGTGGCATCTAAGAGCTTTTTTCAGCCTTAGGAATGCAAATGTGTATTTTTTGATTCCTGAGTGACTCATGAGCACATGCAAGTTTTAGAAGTGCTAAATTAGCTTGCCTTGCATGTGGCTGACCCAGGTTTGATCCCTGGCACCTCCTATGGTCCCCCGAGTCCTTCCAAGAGTGATCCCTGAGTGCAGAGTCAGGAGAAAGTCCTAACGACTACCAGGTGTGACCCTAAAATCAAAACATATGTGTATATACACTCACAAGCACGCACACACATACACACATATGTGTGTGTGTATGTGTGTGTGTGTGTGTGTGTGCTACATTAGAACACTCCATAATTTATGCATAGACTCTAGAGTCATTTATGCTTTTGGTAGAAATGATGAGAAAGTATTACAGACTCATAAAACTGCCCTGTCTTATTAAAGAATATTTTGCTCTAATCTGGATCACAGAGAGAAGGCTGTGAGGTGGGGTGGGGGCTGAAATTAAGTGCACCTCCACAGTAGAGTCTGGTGCCACCCAAACACTGACCAATTTTGTGATAGGGACCACGGGCACATCAGCAAGAACTTATCAGAGGCGCTGGTGGCGAAGTGCAAGGTCTTGTAAATGTCTGGTACACTTGACGGGGAGGGACAAAGGCATGTAACCTACAATTTGAAGAGTAAATACATGGGAGGAAGTCACTTACATTAACCCAAGGATGTTCAAGGACCTGCATAGCCGAAAATCGCTGATCAACATTGACTAACAGCATCATGGTGATGAGCTCCTGTGAAAAAGAACATGTGATTCTATCTGTTCCACTTTTAAAGTAAAACTCTGGGTGCTTTCAAGTGTGCAAGCTTTGTTTTAGTTGGGAAAGAATATATGAAACCTCTAAATCTTAGTATATCAATTCAATAATCTTAAGATATCAATTTGACTTACCCAGAAGCTAGCTACTAAGTGACACCTTTAAAAATCAAAGTGAATATTTGCAATTATAAATATATAACCATTAGTTGACAGAAAAAATTAACTTAATGAAAATATTTTTAGTAGAAAAGAAGTTTAACAAGTTAAAGAATTAATATTTCTTTCTTTGTCTAGGATTTTGCTCTTCAGAGACAGATTTCTTTATTGCCTTAATACAGAAATCACAGATAAATACAAATTTTTCTCTTTGGTAGCTGAAAAGAAAATTAAATTTTCCCTCCTACATGTAAGATAGTGTATTTAAGTTATGAAAGAAAGAAATGAAGCAAATATATAGAATTGTCAAAAGTGAGTTGGTAAAACAAGAATGATTTTTTAGTAGCCAAACAAGTCTAAGGAAATGAACCAAAGTACTTCAATTATTTCCAAATTAATCAACATTTAAAAAGGCCTATTAAAAAGTAAACGATTTAGGGCTGGAGTAATAGCACAGGGGTAGGGCATTTTCCTTGCATGCGGCTGACCTGGGTTCAATTTCCAGTATCCCATATGGTCCCCTGAGCACTGCCAGGAAAGATTCCTGAGTGCAGAGCTAGGAGTAAACCCTGTGCATTGACAGGTGTAACCCAAAAAGCAAAAAAATAAAAATAAAATGAACAATTTAATGTTTCTGAAGTTGGTGCAACTTCCACATGAGTTTCTGAACCAAGAAAGCACACCTTGGGTTTGAATGATGAATTTGTTAAACCTTTGTCCATTTTGTATTGGAAGTCTCACAATGGCAAAATTAGATAAATGTAACTCAGTTCCGTAAATTCACACTCTGAGTGTCAGTCGGGATTCCCGTGAATGCTTCGTGGGAAGGATTCATTTCCAGGGATGTAAAGGTAATTTCCTTTGTCTTCATTTTCTGATGTGGGCCAGTACTTATGAAAGCACCTATGGTATGGGGTGGTACAGGGTCTAAGAAAAACAGTCCTGTTTGTCAGTGACTCAGAACCTGTGTTAGGGAGTGATGGCACTGAGTGATGCCAATGCATGTTGCAGCTCACAGGCAAAAACACCTCCACCACTGGTTTTGCAGTTGTATTATCTCATCTCCTTTCATCTTTGTGTCTTTTCTCCAACACTTCTCAAAAATCCTTATTTTTCAGCTGGTCTAGAGGTAAATACCTGGTTAGATAAAAAAATAAGAGACTTGGGCCTAATATGAGTCATTTTCTGCAGAGAGTAACCAAGTCTATATATAAATATATATATATGTATATATATATTCATATTCAAGACCTAGCACTCATATTCACACTCATATTCAGGACACAGAAAAAGGAAAGAAATACACTGAATAATCAAAATATAAGTATTTCTTTCTCTCCATTTTTCAAAAACTGAAGTCAATGCGTGGGAATGCAAGTTTAATGGGTCAACAAAAAATTTTCCTTTTACCGTTAACGAGATATTATAATCTTATTGGTGGGTTTCCTACATCGATCAGATAGAAACCATATGCGTAGTTCTCCTTTCCTTCTAAATTCTGTCTATCTTTTAAGGTATAAGTTAAATCAGAGCTTCTTTATGACATTTTTCTTAATCACTTCAAGTCATGTCGATAATTATCCATTTTATTAACTATTCACTCAATTCACTTGTCAATTTATTCATAAATTATGTACATGCTTCACACCAGTTAGTATTTACTGGTCACTTTTTAGGCACTGGCAATATAGCAATAAAATACACAAGTATCTTTTTCTTAACATTTACTTTCTAATAGAGTGAGAAAATCTACATAAATAGAATGCAGCCACCTCTTATTTAGCTTTGTATCTATTTAGGTTGGTTGAGATAAATAGACAGAGAGATAGATTAGCAATTTAAGGTAAATAAGAGGAACAAAAGAGTGTAAGTGCTATGAAGAAAAATGAAACAAGGAAGGAGGATGAAAGGGTGAGGCAGACAGTTATAATCTATAAGTACAAATAGAGTTATAAGTTATAAGTGCAATGTTATAAGTTATAAGTACAAATGTGGTCGTTTGGAATAGTTTCTTTGAGAAGACGACATTAAAGAAACTCCAGTCTGCTTTTTAATTGAGCTTAAAGATCTCATAGAGATAAATCAACGAGCCATGCAGATATGAGAATAGCTAGTCTGAATGGGGAGGGCATAGCAAAAGGCTAGAGCATTGAAACTCGGTGGTAACAGGAAAAGATGAATTTAGGGAGGAATAGATACTTAATGCATTGGTATCACTGTGAATTAGTGCTGTAATGACTGTGAAGTCTTAGAAAATCTAGTAATCACCATTAAATATGTACAAAGATCACATTGATGGCATCACTAATCTCGGTATACAATGATTTACAATTAATAATTTCATTCAGAGGTATGGACTATAAAAAAGAGAAAAGATTCCTACCTTTGCAGAATCAGAAACATTATCCCAGTACGGAGAAGGAAAATCCACTTGTCCCATCAAAATCTGATCAAAGAGCACCTCCTGGTCATCACCACTTCTATGTAGATTAATGATAACAAGGGAAAAACAGCACCAAAACATCAGCTTAGGATATTTCTCTTTAATCTTATGCCCTGTAGCACTTCTTTTCCCCATAAATGTATAAAATGTGTTTTTTAAAGACATTCAAAATATCAGTGTGGAACAGTTTTGGTAAATTAAGAAAGAATGAATTTTTTAAGTATATGAGAAGATATATCTAAGCATGCAAAACATGGAAAAAATAACAGGCACAACAAGTGAAATTCTTATTATATTCTTTCCCTGCTGCAGGCTCCTTTGTGTAAGGAGGCCAAATGGATCATTTAGAGAATAGAGAAATGCTTTGTTGGTGTTGAGTAAAAGATTGCTGCCCATACCCACGGAACGGAGGGAAACCACACAGCAGGATGTAAGTGATTACCCCAGCTGCCCAGATGTCCACCTTGAGGCCATATCTGGAAAAGTAAGTGATGTCAGAGTTAGCAAAGTCAGGTCAGGACAAATTATGAGGCAAGGAAAAAAAGTAGATGACTCCCAAACTGAACCAGTATCAAATTATCATCAACAACAACAAAAAGAATAATCTTGGAACTAAAGCCCATCAACAAAATTATCAATAAAAGAATAGTATAAAAGGAGAATAAGTAACAAGACTAAAAATCACAGTAATACAGCTCAAGCTTCGGTCAAAATATCAGAAAGAAAAGGGCTTCAGCCAAATGGTTTGATATAGTTACATCAATGTCAAAATCATAATTTGATACCTTGAGGGTATCAACTTCCCTAATTTTAGTAATAAGCGTCACATATAAGAGATTTTTCAATCTGTCAAAATACTGACACATATCCTCTTATTTTGTTTTCTGTAAGTCAACAGTAAAAGAAGTCCTGCCTATTCTAAGGAAGTAAAAAATCAAAGTTCAGAGAGTTGTAATTATAACAATTATTGAAATATTTTGCATTGTAACTTTCTGTGTATCAGGTGTGCATCATTATAAATCAACCCACGATTTTTAAGTTCACCACTAAAAGTTGAATTCTATGCTTCACCAGATGATAGAGGGTCAGTATGTTGCTCATGATGACACAGTCAGTAGTAAGGCTGGGTTCCCCCAGCCTCCAAAGTCTTCAAGAACCCAACCAAGTCCTCTTCCTCCACTCCACTCCCTCCAGCAGGCTTTCAGAGGACTCACATCACTCATGCCCTTAGCTGTGCTCTCTAAGGACCTTCAAGCATGGCTTGAGATACGAACTCAAAATTCACCAAAATTTGATGAATAAAGAAGTCTGCATTCCCTTACATCTCATTTCCTTATCTATTCTGTATTCCTGCTGTTCTGGATTATAGTGGAAGCAGAAAAACTGTCTCCAACTGGCCCCAGTGGGGGACACAACATAGATCACTGATCATGGGTTGCCAATGGGGAGAGAGGTAGGACTGTGTTCTCTTACTGTCCACCTTCATCATCCGTCTGCTTAAGGTTCCTGCTTCCGAACTTTGTTTCAGGGGTTGGAGCAATACACAGCAGGTAGGTCGTTTGCCCTGCATGCAGCTGACCCAGGTTTGATTCCCAGCATCCCATATGGTCCCCCGAGCACCATCAGGAGTAAATTCTGAGTGCAGAACCAGGAATAACCCTTGTGCATTGCCGGGTTTGACCCAAAAACCAAAAAAAACAAAACAAAACAAAGCAAAACAAAACAAAAATAAAAACAAACCAGAACTTTGTTCCAAACCTCAGAAAGAAACAGAGCTCTTTATAAGAGCTCCTTGCTCACAAGGATCTGAGTTCAAATGCTCACTCAGCTACTCTCCATGTAGCTTACCTGATAACTTCCATCATCAGAGTCTGAATTTATCATGTAAGAATACAGATCAGACCCTCTCCCTGGGAGTAATACTATATCAAGGAGTTTAGAGCACTGCATATAGTAGGTGTAGGTTCTTAATAAAGATGAGGCTACCTTGCTTTCTCCCCCCACTCTCCCATAATAGGAAGGAGATTTTCATTCTTCTGACACTGCTGCTTACAGAAACCTGCAAATTCCTAGTGGCCCTCTGATGCTTAAAGATGTTTGTACTCCACAGATAACAACTGGATCTCCAAAAGCGCCAAAATGGGACTGGAATTGGATAACAAGGACAGCAGGGAGAAATAAGCACAGGGGACTATAATCACCACATAGCAAAGTCGGTTTCTTTTATCTCCAAAAGCAAGTTAATTACCATTGCTATATGTTTCTCTGTTAGTCTGAACATTTTTTCACTCTGGGGCTAATAACTACAGTTCTACCTTTAACAAAGGCCAAATGGAAGCCTTAAACAAGATCGCTGTAATTGGTAACTTGATTGAGAAAACAGGGAAAATGGCTCCCACTTTAAAGTTAAAAAAAAAAAGAAAGAACAGAGTGAAAGAAATCTGACAGCTAATTCTGTCTGGTTGGGAAATAGCAGTGCTATTTCTTCTATTCTTAAAGCAAGTTAATTATTTTGTAAGCGCAGCACATGAGAAGTATTTACCCAGTCTCTGCAATGATTTCTGGAGCCACGTATGTGGGAGTACCACAGACTGTGTATAGAGGACCGTCTACAATAGTGGCCAGTCCAAAGTCACCCAGCTTTAGCGATTTGCTGCCATCTTGGTGTTCATATACCTAAAATAAAAGTGAAAAAGAAAAGCACATTATAATCCAGAACCCTAAAGTTCTTTCCTGGAGAAAGGAAGGATGCTGCAATTTATATGAAATGGGTATCATGAAGTTGAAAACTGGACAGTTGTTCAAGGATATACATACAATAATATGGTTCTTTACCACTGAATAACAAACTGCCAACCTACGAAATTCATTAAATATATGATGGAATATTTATATCATGAAGGACCATGACAATTAAAATGGTGATGAAGATTTACACACACTGAAATGAATTCTGCTTCGGAAGTGAGGAGGGCTGATGAATTTCATAAAGTGTCTATTAAAGAGAAAACTGCATGAAGAAAAGTATGAAGAACACAAAGTTGGTATGTCAGTCACTGGCTGGCAGAACTTGAAGCTATTTTTCTGTTCCCTTTTCTGCAATGCATATTTTCTACAATTAAATTGATTCACACAATACAATGGCCTTTAGGCTGAGTGAAGTACCTTCAATTTATGAAAATAATGACCTCTTCATTTTTATATTTAAGGAGCATTTAAAATACAGTTCTAAAGAAACGAAACAAAAAACCAAACTTATTGAAATACTATTTTTCAGGGTTCCAACAAGATCTATCTATGTTTTGTTTTAAATTAATAATTGAAAGGAATATTAACATTTTGTTTCACCTGTGGCATTTTGGAAAGATTTATCAGGTGCAGAGTCGGCATTCTGTCCAGGTTGCCTTATTAAGGCAGTAAAAGTTTCCAGTCTTTCACCCAACAAATCAAGAAAGATGATTATGACCATAGGCTACTGGCAACTCTTTATATTCCTTTAATTCTAGTCCATAGTTGAGCTAAATGCTCTAAAAAGTATTCCAAACAAAATCTATTACTTCAAGAAAAGATCAAACGGCATGCTGAGTACATATGAGGTGCCCTCCATGGGAATCAATAAGATAAGGAAAAAGTAAATGTAGTATGAGGCTAACTATTCAGGAAATGGAGAAGCCTTCTCTGTCCATCAAAATAATTCACTGAGTCAGTTGAGGCATGCACATTCTTCTGTTATCACTAGAGGATCATCTGTCCTTGCTCTAGCACTGTGAACCTCTTGCCACAGCAGGGCACATCTCCACAAGTCAGGAGTTCCACTACTGTTGACACACCACATCTGCCTGCCTTTGGAAAACATGGAGATGAACTGCTCATTTCACTGCAGCAGAAAGTGCAGACGTTTGGCTGGCTAAGAGACCATATCCGCATTGATGATTTGAATCTAAGTGCCATGGCAGATGCAGGCAGTGAGGTCCTTCCCTCTGGATAGACTGCATCTTTCTTTCTTAGGCAGAAAATATTTTTGCACATTTTCACTGCATTTAAAACAGGGAGAGTTTTCCTGAAGGCATTGGCCAAGATCAAGGTCAGGCCAGGCAGGCATCCAGAGGTTGGCGGGATCACCTGTCTTTGGAGGTATCAGGGAAAAGATAGCCAGATGGCTCTCACAGCTATGGTTCTGCCCAGTTGTCATCTTCGATGGGCACAGTTCTCCCCACTTTCCCGACAGAGCATGTCTTTAGAAGTTTGAGTTCTGAACTCTGAGGAATCAGAACTTCAGGATCATGTCCCATCAAAAAATTCTCAGACAAAAAAAATCCTTTAATTGCAATCTTAGCTTGTCACCCTTTCCGGTCTTCCAAACGACAAGCAAACACTTTTCATGAAAATGAATCTGAGACGGAAAGACAGAGAAGTGCCCCATTTTGTTTCCCACTAAGAGAAGAACTGTTTACTTCCTTAATTTGGTTTCATTATCAAAACCTTTCTAAACTGCAGAAGAATCTCTCTGATGTTCTGTTGGACCCGAACATTCATGGTGCATGCCTGATGGGACCGCGCAGATTTCAAATTTATACAACTCCATTATACAGCAATATTTGTGGATTTTTTTCTGAATATATTAGCTATGATCACCTTACTTTATTTCAAAGTTGGACAATGGCAGATGCTGGCAGATCTGGTCAAAAGTTACATTTTATTTCTGAATAGGACATATAACTCCCGAATGTATAGCAAAGATCTTATTTTTAGCATCTCAGTTTTAATAGAAATTCCATCTAACATAACCATGTGCCCATTGTGTTCCGTATAGATGAGCAACATGACTAAAAATGCAAGCCATGGAAAACTAGCTAAAATGAAGCAGAAATTGCCTTAAAGCAATAATATTTCTAAAATAAACCAGCACCACTTATATAAAATACATACAATCTATCATTTTAATATTATTTTATCCCTAAACACGTCTACAAATGTCTCCTATTTGGCTTTGAGGAGATTATAGTAGAATTTTCATGAATAAAAAAAGGTTAAAATAATGCTTATGAGGCAATAAGAATTTAGGGAAAAAAGCCTAATTCATGTAACTGAAAACATTTCAATTTTGATATATTTCAATTTCAATATAATTAAAAATGTTCCAATAAAGACACAAGAAATGCTTGAGAAAAATATTTTTTGCAGGTCATTATTCAAATGTGCAAGTCTCTTATTCAGAATTCTGCTTAACTTACTGTTCTTGCAAGGTAAAAGCAAGGTGACTTTTGGGTTCTTCCCCTGTCTGCACTTTGGGGTAAAGAAACAGAAAAATATATAGGAGCGTCTTTGTGTGAAATGTGAATTCACCTCACAACTGAGGTTCCTCATCAGAGCCTGCTGCAACCCAAATTGTGCTCACCTTTGTCTCTTCCCCAAGAAAGACCGAAGGACACAAGTGAGGTCACAGAAAAAAATGTCATCAAAACTTCCTGAACAGTCACAGATTGTTCAATACATCTGTTTCAAACACAGATGCATGTAAGCGCGTGCACACAAGAGAAACACCCTTGCAAAACCATCTTCAGAAAGTATTCTCCCAAAGAGAAACCATAAATTAACTTTGAATGAAGTTTTGAATTAGAAGTCAGTCATCTGCGAAGCTTCTACCAAGTTCCCATGGCAAGGGGAGCATCCTTGGCTTATTCAGCGTTCTGAGCCAATTCTAATTCTGTGGCTCCACACTCTCATCTGGCAGAAAGGACATTAACTGGCTGCAAGTTTAGGCTTGACAGCCTGATCCAGCAAGTGGGGCTCTGGCGTAGGTAGAACTTTTGCTCTAACTGTATTTTAAAGCCCCCATAAAACATGACCCACACGTGAGGTGGGAGTATATTAATCGTCAAAGACTAGTCACAACATGAGGCATAATTTAATGCTCATCCCAGGCCCTTTAAGTACTAAAGATGTTTCCCCCCATTTTAAACACTGAGGGACTATTAAAGAGACGGGGATTAGTGCAAATTACCCAGTATGTAGTGCTTTCACTGTTTTAACTAAGCAATAAAACTGTGTAATTGTACAACACTAATTGAATGCAGCTACACATAATTGTGGGCTGCCATATGTATCCTATTACCATAAAGACTGTCAGTATTTTGTAAGCTACTCTTGTGATCATTGCAGATGGCTACAGTCAGAGAAGTTGTTCTCCAGGGTTTATTATATGGCTATAAAGATATCCCATGATTTGACAGACTAAATGTGTTAAATGGCAACAATTATGAAAAAGGTTCCAATTAAAAGCTGACGGCCTGTCCTGCCAAGAATAGCTATAGTGAAAGGTCAGGTATGTAGGTTTTGGCACACTGGTATTTTCTGTAGGAGCTTTCTTTTTTAAGGAAGTTTTGTTGCTGTTTCTTCTTTGTTTATTTGGGGGTTTGCAGTAGCATTAACTTGCTGAACAGAAGATGTTTAAGCATACGCCTAATTTTTCGCGGATTAGAAAATGAGATCATTTTCAAAAGTGATTTGAAAAAATTAAGAGTCAATATATAGTCAAAAGATGTAGCAAGTGGCCATACTGTAATGTGAAAATTCACAGATAACTTGAACGGCCAATTAAATGGTTTCTGAGACTCTCACAGAAAACTAAGAGCTGGCTAATATAACAGATAGTGCTGAAACAAACTTATTTCTCCAGGTGACTAAGAATTCAAGGATAACTTTGAGAAATGCTGCCCAATTAGTCATGAGTAGCCACTGACATAGAGAACTTGGTACGTACTAAAAATTATTTTACCAAACAGACTTGAAAAATGGTGGCATGAAATTGACCGTCATGAATAAAGTCAACATGCATTTTAACACATGTTGTATCCCTTGAAAAAGATATTAATTTTTCTCCAGCTATGATGTATGGTCTATGGTCTTTTTTATCCTTTCAAACGAGAATGAATTAAATCTAAACTTTAATCTTTAATTAATAAAGTACAACAATATTTAAACAATAGATTATTGTGTAAAATGCAGTTTGAGTCACTTGATAGTACAAAATGCACATACACAAACAAACCTGAAAAAAGTGTCTTAAAAACCCACTTCAGAAGACCCACGTATGAAATCTTTATGAAGTCAATAGTAAAACAAAGTGATAAAAATAACAAGTATTGTGTAGAAATCAGAAAGTTAACAATATTGGAAGAAGCAGTGGAAGAAAATAAAACAGATTTGCAAACTATTCCACTAGATAAATCCGGGAAGATAGAGAGGTGAACAAAAATTCCTGATTCTCATTCTCATATTCAAATAGTCACAGAACTAAACCAAAAGTTCCAGTTGCAGAAGCAGTTAATATAGAAAATTTGTGTTACAGATTTTGTTAGCACTTGCACATTCATTCTAGGAGTTTGCTAAAAATGTGGGAGCTCCATGTCACTGCAATTTTTAAAAATTATATTACATCTTTTGTCAAACAAGTAATATCCAATATATCACGGTAGGAAAAAATGAGGACAGACAGATAATTACAGAAGGAAAGTGATTAAATTCACACATATTTTTGACACCCATAAATTTGAAACCTGTAATCTTGACACAGAGGAACTGTTAGCACTTGGAGGCAGGGATTTCCAGAATTTTATTTTTCTTTCCTGCTTTTCTTTTTCTACTGGAAAATATATCCTCCATGTCTTCCAAAG